GAAATATCATTTGAAACAAAATGCTGTACTTGCAGAATTGGTGGAAAAAGCTAACTGATGAAGATGAATGACGAGTAAACATTGTTAAAAATAGTTTACTTATACACACGTCTGCATCAAGACAAGTTAAATGTAAATTTTGGAAATTGCACATGTTGTGCTGAGAATTCCTTACTGTAGTCATTAAATATACGTTACTGCATAAGGTGAATATTATTAATACCATTATGGTCGTCATTAAATACAGTTTTAAGTGATAAAAAGACAAATAATTATCTCAAAAGGCAAGAAGAAAAGAATAATCCTCATTGTTATTTATCTGGTAAATATAGCTCATGATAATCTGAACAAAGTAATTAATCTTCGAGTTTAGTTCAACAACACGAAATTAAGAAAAGCTATTTTGATATAATTGATCCAGTATAGTTGGCAGTTGACGCAACTTTCATCCTAGTTAGCTGAATGTACCTTCATTGAAGCATGATTGTTTGAGCAGGAACAAAAATAAAGCACAATTTGTTTCGCACTTTGACAGTATTATCTACTGAGCTATTGAATCAAAATGGCTTGTGTGATCAGTACGAACTTAGTTCAAAAAAATCAACGACAGGACAATTCAAACATTTACATATTAAGTATTTTAAAAAAAATGTATTTGTAAAATCTCAGCGAATAAATTTTAAGTAAATCCAGCGTTTCGCCTGGCAATCTGGTCCAAGCTTTTTCAAGGAAAATGTAATCAAACAACAAAATTATCGAATATAAATAGGTACAAGGTTCTCTGGTTCACTGTATACCGAATAAAACATCCAATCAACGTGCACCCTGTTTGAAGTAGGTATTTACAAAATGTGTAAGAGACTTGTGTTGTGAAAAACGAAAAATGTTAAGATAACAGATTGTGTGTTTACGTAAGTGATGTGTGAAGAAATTTCATTCAAATATATGTTGTTTTCGGTATGTGTATATTAAGAAAACAAATCATTTTATATATGATATGAACCAAAATGTCACAGCATTAAATGACGATAAATAAACAAGATAACAGACTGAATTCAAAGAGGAAGAATGTATTTGTAATTGAAAGTTTGTGTTATTTTAGTGCTCCCATCAATTGTTTAACATATTCAGATACAATAACTGATTTGAAACCGTTAAATGTATTATCTATTGATTAGTTAATGTGATATAGATAGATAGAATGGAATAAGGAGTTCAGGTTTACTTATTAATTACTAGTTGCCATGGGACAGCTAATTGTATTCCATTTCTCCTATTAATACTGTTTGAATTAGCCCATATATGTAGGGCTTCGGCTGTTAGTCGTTCTTTGTAAGAGTTAAAACCTTTTTGAATGATTCGTGCGCCATTAAAATCAACTGTATGACCCGATTCAATCGAATGTAATGCTATTGCTGATTTGTTCTCAAGTCTTTTCACATCATCTGAGGATTTAGGAATGTGCTTTAAGCACAGTTTGTGTTCCTTCACCCTCACATTCAATTGCCTTGATGTTTCCCCTACATACGTTGCCTTACAATCATTACATTTGATTTCATAAACACAATTCTGTTGTTCATCCTTGAGAATTGGATCTTTGATTCGTACTAGTTTTGATCTCAGAGTATTGTTTGTTAAAGAATACTCTTATATTTTGAAGAGTTAGAATCCTTCTGATCTCTTCTGAAATACCTTTACGACATGGGATCACCACCGTGTTAATCCATTCTTTTTGCTTAGCTCCTTTTTTAATTATATCATTTTGTTCTTGATTCTTGATTATTCTTTTAATAAAACCCTTCGGATAATTATTCATTATTAGAGTGGATACAATTAAATTCATTTCCATTTTTATATCATTTGGTTCAGTGGCAAGTTTTTTGACTCTGGTTATCAGATTTTTGGCTACTGTCACCTTGGTAGAGTGTGGATGTGCAGACTTAAAATCTAGAAATTTCCCCGAATATGTCGACTTTCGGAAAATATTAATTTTTTAAACAATCGTTATCCTTCCTTTCAACCAAGCAGTCTAGAAAAGGTAATTTTCGTTCAGGAGATTCCAACTCTTTAGTGAACTTGATTTTGTCATAAATGCTGTTGACACGTTGAAATAGTTCGTCTATAGCATCTCGTTTTAAGGGAATTTATGGCCAAGGAAGGATGAGAGGTTGGACAAATCGTTTCTGCACGCAAAGTTCGGGCTTGAGTTCGTGAATTGCCAGTGCCTCAGCAGTGCATAATATATTGATTCGACACCCTTTTTCTTATTCAATGACACTATGGGTTATTTTAATTGTTTACTTATCTTGTTTATTTATCGTCATTTAATGCATGCTGTGACATTTTGATTCATATCATATATAAAATGATTTGTTTTCTTAATATACACATACCGAAAACAACATATATTTGAATGAAATTTCTTCACACATCACTTACGTAAACACACAATCTGTTATCTTAACATTTTTCGTTTTTCACAACACAAGTCTCTTACACATTTTGTAAATACCTACTTCAAACAGGGTGCACGTTGATTGGATGTTTTATTCGGTATACAGTGAACCAGAGAACCTTGTACCTATTTATATTCGATAATTTTGTTGTTTGATTACATTTTCCTTGAAAAAGCTTGGACCAGATTGCCAGGCGAAACGCTGGATTTACTTGAAATTCATTCGCTGAGATTTTACAAATACATTTTTTCGCTTAAATGTCTCACATTAACTCGGCTCCCAAATATTGTGAAACTATTCGTTCAAATTTAGACGAAAGTTCTTATTTACATATTAAGTATTTTAATAACAATAATTAAAGAATGATCAAACGGTCGAAAAAAATGGAACACTTAAAGTGTTCTAGATAGCTTACCAATGTAATAATATTTCGTCCTCTATCAAAACAAACGGACGTTATTACATGCGAATACAACAGTTACACAAAACTCTGTCTCATTTAAGAGAATATTGTCAGCTTAAAGGAATTATTAATCAATGACATAAAGAAAGAATGATGATTCATTAGGTTAATTTCAAGAGTATCTCTACATATATATTTTGAAGTATATGGGTGACATTCAGTATAATTTCTAGTCTTAATGGAATTTATTTCGAATCGTCCGTCGCCAACAAACTGTAGCAAACAACACGAAATAGATTCAATTGTTAGAAAGCATCTAGTTGTTAAGCTGTAAGAATCAATAAGAATAAGAAAGAGAGAATTCAGCGAAAAAAATTTTCGACGAAATCATTTACTTAAGCTGTTCATTCGTATTTATACTTATATGTCTATAGAAGGATAGAAAAAATTGCATCATAAATTGATTCGAGATTGTTATTATCAAATGAGGTTACGCAATAATCAAGGGGTAAGGAAGGAACATAAGAATGAAAATAATTTATGGGTCAGTTAATAGTCCGATTGACAGATAGAAGAAAGACGACAAACATAAAGGTCATAATAATGTGAACTGAGTAGTGATCGAACAAACTTGTATAAAGTAATAATAACTTATTGGAGTTTAAAATTCATTGGTTCAAATGTGAATTGAGGGGTGAAAATTATTGAAACTTGAGTAATTTTAAACTCCAGTAAGTTATTCACTTGGTATTGTTTTGATTGTATCTTCCCATTGAGCTTTTAAGACTGCAATTGATCAGTCACATGTTAGCATATGTGCATCTTGTGTGGATTGCCTCGATATAGTTTTAAGTCACAAGCTTTTTAAGCAAAGATGGATAGTGGCTAGCAGTGAAATCCAGGATGCGCGTTTCGTCCTGTTTAGGACTCGTCAGCTGGACGTACCTGTATCTCAGAGTTGATGTTCACTTTGGGACTCATTGGTTCAAGGGGCTATCAGGACTCAGTAGCTAAGTGGATGACGCGATGGTGTTTAAAGCGAACAGTACTGGGTTCGAGTCCAATGAATTTCATTTTCTTGATGTCCGATTGAAAAGTAGGCCGGGTGGTTTTTTACAGTGATGTCTACAGTTAAAGGAATTGGATCGAAGGGATGACGAATTAATATTTTATGCACTGCTGAGGCATTGGCCATCCACGAACTCAAGCTCGAACTTTGCGTGTAGAAACGATCCGTCCAACCTCTCATCCTTCCTTGACCTTAATTCATTTTATTTGTATGTTTCGGGTTCTTTCCCTTTTTTTCATTTTTGTTTGATTATTGTTGAACCAGATTGCCAGGCGAAACGGTGGATTTACTTCAAATTCTTTCGCTGAGATTTTACAGACATTCTTCCTGTTTATTGTTTTGTAATTTTAAAGTTCAATAAGTTATTATTACTTTATACAAGTTTGTTCGATCACTACTCAGTTCACATTATTATGACCTTTATGTTTGTCGTCTTTCTTCTATCTGTCAATCGGACTATTAACTGACCCATAAATTATTTTCATTCTTATGTTCCTTCCTTACCCCTTGATTATTGCGTAACCTCATTTGATAATAACAATCTCGAATCAATTTATGATGCAATTTTTTCTATCCTTCTATAGACATATAAGTATAAATACGAATGAACAGCTTAAGTAAATGATTTCGTCGAAAATTTTTTTCGCTGAATTCTCTCTTTCTTATTCATTGACACAATAGATTATCTTAATTGTGAATTTGTAATGTGCATCCGATTCCAAACGATATGTACATCAAATGTAAATTTATAGAACTCCAGGAGTACACAATGATCTATTTTGGGAAATAAAAAGCTTCCATTATTGTCTTAACAATCTTTGCGCTTAACCGAAGATCATTAAGGAATACACTTCAGTAATATTTACAATCCTTTCTTCCTTTAAATTGACCATTGATTATGGAACAGTCCAAGACATTTACTGGCTAATAATTCGATGTTCTTTGTATAATAATTATATTTTGATCCAGTTAAGAATGTACATTCGACCAATGTTACTTTAACTGGTCTAACTATAGTTGAGACACGATAATCTACAATTCTTTTATACGATATAGTAAAAACCCAAACAATGCTTTGAATAGAAGTATTCGATTTCCAGAATGAATGTTTGTAGACTTAAACAATTCATTGTGTTTATAATTTAAATTAAAAGTTAATTAGTTCAAATGATAACACAATATTATTCATACAACACTTGTGCATATCATAGATTCAATTTAACAATGATATATTAGTTACGAACATAAGCAACTAAGTGAACTGAACAAGTCATAATCTAAGAGCCCCAATAAAATAAGTTATAACACATAATATGTAATATAAAGCGTTATCATTACGGTGTCTCGTAGTTTATTGAATTGAATGGAAGTCTAAATAACGGTTAACTTTAATGAGATATACAGAACAGTGAAGTAAAAATAATTTATTTGAAATAAAATCTCTATATTCTTTATACTTATGGTATGCATGTAATCTGATAATGAGAAAAAATAATGTCACGATCCAAGTAATATGGAAACCAATATCTCAATAAGCGAAACAAGAGTTCAGACCAGAAAATGCATATATATATATATATATATAATCATGAGTGTCCTTTGAACAACGTCAAGATAAAGGAAAATGACACTCAGTGAGATGAATAATCACTCGAGAAAATAAACTGACAGAGAAAACCAAATCAGTGTTAAAACATTATCGATCATCTCCGTTGCATTTGTTTATTATATATAAATATGAGTGTAAATAGACCTCAAGAAATATTGATAAGGAATTTAACACACACATACAGACATTTTCTTTCTTCTGACGAAACAAACAAACAAATGTTTTGGTTTGTTCGGTGAATTAGTTATTTAAATCACGGTATATATGTATGTGCAGGAGTTGATGAATGTGCGGCAAAATGTATACTTGATACAGGTGAATTCAACTGAAATTAAAAATAATCACTGCATTACCATATATAAGTACATTTATAAATAAAATCGGTGGGACTATAATTTATGGACGACCTTTGAGCGACGCTAGATTGACTTTGAGTGTCCACTTGATAACTAGGACCAAATGTAGATTATAAACCTATGTGAGGAATTACAATTATGATTTACAGTTGATGATTAAGGTAAAGAATTAGATTTAGGGTTTTCATCACGAACTGATATAATCTATAATGCCAAAACTCTATTTAGCTAAATGGACGAGTGAATTTCGCGCCTAAATCCAAGACCTGTTATCTTATACCTCATTAGTTCGTCCATAGATTCTAGTCTCACCATGAAATCATACTATAAAAAGAAGGAAGACTCATAAATAATATAGCCAAACTGTTAAATAGATTGTCGTAAGAACAGTTTAACTATCACTGATAGTATTATAACTGCATTTTAGGCTGATTTATGTTATTACTGCTTACATCACTGATTGATCTTAATTAGGTCAACTGGAAACACGAAGGCACTGAACAACTGTTTCAGTCTCACAAGGGACTCCACAACAGTGCATATTCACGACCACAAAAGCGATGGAAGCCAATACCTTTAGGTGACATAGAGAGCTTGATAATTTTAAGTGCACAATCTTGATTTGAAGTACAACTCATTTGACATGCGTCTGTCTGCAACTACGTCGCTCTACGATAAGTTAAAATCTTCAGTAATATGGTACAGTTTGAGTCATCCTTAGTTATTACTTTAGTCAGTCAGCCACAACGTAGAACCTGCACGAATGTACATTAGTTCGTGATCATACACCATTAACAGACCGAGATGAAATTGTGAGGCCAGATCCCAGTACAGTAGACTAGTAACTGTGTCAGTGATAATAGGAAAAATTATGCAACGAAGATACAAGTCTAGAAGACAATATAAATTAGTGAGATAAAAACAAAGTTATGGGGATTTTAGAAGTTCAAAACTTTGAGAAAATAAGGAATGGATGCACATGTGCCGTTACAAACGATTTCGAGCCATGTCATTCAAAGTCTCTAACCATTGGTTACGAAAATCACGCAGACTCTAACTAGGTAGTCTTTACCTATTGACATGGTCAAGTCCAAATGTCAGTGATTTTATGGACTGATACCATGTTTTGATTAGGCCACCCATAGATTTCTTCCAACCTGCTTCCGAACCAAAAAACATTGCGCGTCGAGGTAAGATGTGGCTGGACATAGGTAAAACATGTCCCGACTACCTCAGTTGATGAAGATGTACTACCTTATCGATCGACTTCCCATACTCACCAAATTTGTTATTCCATACCCAGGGGTTGCTTACTCCATGGTCCAAAAATACACGACCAATGCCTCATAGACACTAAAGACCAAATACCAATAATCTACGAATATCCTCCACTCTTAATAGCCATGTTTCAAGTCGATAAAGTAGAACGGAGCGAGCTGCTGCGCAGTAAACTCACCCTTTGTTTAAGAGAAGGATATCTTGCCTATCCCACAAGTGACGCAATTTGGCAAAAGCCAATCGAGCCTTCTGAATCCGTGCCGAGGTTTCGTCAGACACCATACCATCACTACTGATTAGACTCCCAAGATAAGTGAAGAGGTCGATACAGTACTACTTCACTTCCCATCATTAATTCATGCAATGACGCAAGCCTACCCTGAAGCAACATTTCTTATTCAGAGGGAGAGAACCACATCCCAAACATGCTTAGGTTGGTCAGAAGACTACATTGTGTCAGAGTCGTTACCAAACAGTACTATATCATCTAAGTATACTGAGTTAACAAGTGAATCGCCTGGTAGAAGATTAACCCTTAAAAAAACAGACGATAAAAATAAATAAAAGTGAAAAAAGAGGACAACCTTGACGAACACCGCTTGAAGTAACCAATTCCGATGACAGTTCGCCATAAGTTCTGACAGACGCTGCTGTAGAACTCCACAGTCAATGGAGTCGAACGTTTTCTTAAGGTTGAGGGACACAACTACGGAAGGACGTCGAGAAATAAGTCAATGTTCCAGAATCTGTTAAAGAGTGAATATTTGGTCTATACATTCGCGTTCAGATCTGAAACCAACCTAGTTTTCTTGGATTTGCTCTTCATGAGCTCTAGTTAAACATCAGAGTAGTATTGAGGCTAATATTCTAGACGCTATACTAGTCAAACTGATTACTCTGTGATTTTTACAAGAGGATTTTTGTCCTTCTTTAAAAACTAGAACTATTAGTGATCGAGACCAGTCAGATGGGATTACATCTAGTTCCAAGACTTTACCTAAGATTTCAATTATTCTAACTGCTAGAACTTGACCATCATTCTTAAAAATCTCAAGGGTTGACCCATCAAGCCCTGTTGCTCTTCCTCGCTTTGAATTGCTTATAGTCTTTTCAAACTCTGTAAAAGTTGGAGGACTTGCATCAGTTTGCTTGGAAATAGTGGGTAACTGAAGTTTGGATGAAGGCTAGTTAAACTGTTCACTAAGTTGTTCTGCGCATTTGTCGAATCCCCTGGACAACAGTCCAGTCATTTTTTGAGATAGTCTCACTGACAGCTGGATTTTTAATATCTGTTTCCTTGATAAATTTCAACAGTTGTCTACTTTTACCTATCACCATTACCTTTTCTATCTCTTCTGACTTCTCTACCCACAACTGATCAGGATCATTGTGTAGGCTTTTGATCAACCTATATTTAAGCTGACTATGTTGCACATCGTGTTCTGAGCCAGATGGACTAAGTTCCAAAGCATCTATCGGTTCTGTAGGCGCTGCTGAAATCGACTGATCTTTCCTAACTATTTGGTTTAAGCTACTAGATAGCACTGCTGCTTCCACAATTCTTTGGATATCATGCTAAGCTTCTTCGGGGTGGATATCATTTTCGCGATTGAATAGTTTCTTCTCTAGTTGTCCCTGAAATATATTCTCAACTTTAATATCATTAAGTTGGAGTCTAAGGAGTTTTCTTATAATGGCTCTTCTACGTGAGGTAAGAAGAAGACAAATACGTGCTCGAACTAGCGCATGATCCGAGTCAAAATATGTGATCCAAAATGAGCGACAGTCTACGATCCAGTCCCTCCAACGATGGATATGTGCAATGTGACCTATTTGATTGTGGAAGTCGCTACGTCAGATGATGTTTCTCATTATTTTTGCCAGAAATAGGTGGTTATCTGAGCATAGTTTCAACAGACGGTCGCTATTATCACTTCGCCGAGACGCAACACCATAAGACCCACCTGTGTCTTGAGGTTTGGTTTAATTTACCCACTCGAGCATTAAAATCACCCCCAACTATTACCACATCAGAGAGTTTAGCTTTTTAAAACGAGGTTCGAACATTAAAAGCTTCAACATGCAGTTCAGAGCGTGGTTATAGGAGACCAGGAATAATATTTCGTGAACTCAAATCATTAGCACTGGTGGCGCGTGGTGATTAAAATAAATGAGAAGGGTTAGTCATGAAGATGGAAGAATTATTAATAAGTGAAAGAGGAATCCAATCGTCAATAAAATGATCAAGGGTGCTGATAGAGGTATGAGGGCGGTTATCACTTCCAAGCTGTTCAGACCATGGAAGGATACTTCTTCTCGAGAGACCTGAAAAAGAAGAATTAATGGTGGTCCTAGAGATTTAGAAGGGTGACCGCAAAACCCAAGGGATAACTGTGTGAGGTCAGTCACGCACGACCTTCTTATGGGAAGTTTTTGATGAGTTAGATCCGCACAAGTCCTACTGTAGTGAAGGAGAACAAAGGTGAGGACAACCGAATCATACTTGGCACAAAATTACAGAGTTGCTTGGTAAAATAGAAAAACCATACTATAATATTGAATTTGCAAAATGCTCAATAATTGTCCCGGATTTCACTGTTCCTGCATTTCTATACTAATTGCTTTCTATTCCCGTTCTTCCTTTCTTGAACTTCCCAATCTTCTGCCAGACATTACATTCCTGACTCGATATATTACTTGTGTCAATATGAGTAGCAGGCATCACACTACCACCACGTCAAGGTAGCAGCTAGGGCGGGCAATTATTTATGGTAAAAATCTAAATCATCACCTGGTAGCTGTTTTTATGTATGCAGTACTTATTTCATTGTTCCCCTAGTAATAGCTGCTTGTAATTTTCTACTCAAATTGTAATTAAAATGTATGGGAATGTAAGCTAATGATAATGATCCACTATATTTGGAAGTTATGAATTAGTCTATCCAAGTTTCCTGTTAAAGATGTAAAATAGATTAACGTGGCTTAGTTAGAAAATTATAACATTTGATGACTTAACCCCGGGTAGTTAACAGAGTACATTTCTTAATGATGATCTGGAGCTTCGAGTGAAACGATACTATATATATATATATATATATATATATATATATATATATATATATATATATATATATATATATTAGGAACTTACCTTTGTTGTGTGAGGTTTAATTTGTGGAGTTTGAAATGATTCGTCAGATATGTCCGAAATGTCTATTTAAGGAAATATTGAGAACATGTTATTCGAATTATTTTTTTAAAATCAAAATAACATATATATTACTTACCAACTTTAAGAAACATGACAATCATCTAACTACTTATATAACAATTTAAAATATGCAGACGACGTAGTTCTGTTTGATAATGCATCATTTTATGATAGCCCTGAGCAACATAACAAACATGTTTAAGATGCGTTCTCCTTCCCATCAAACTGATATTTTCTCAAATGATATTCTCTAATCTTTTTTTCTACGATTGACAGTACTACTGCTTTCGATACTATTAACAGCATTTTGATGGTTTGTTACTTCCCGTTGTATTGTAGTGTTGCGATAAATTCAAACTGATGCAGGTTTATACAGAGTTCTGTTTCGCTTCCAGCTAACTGAGATCAGATTTTCAAGTGACTGATAATATTCGGAAAAATATTCTCAGGATTCTTAATAGATCATTAAATCCTTAAGTTATTCGTTTATTTTCTGAGTTCATATTGATGCTACCGATTTAAGAGAAATTCTACAGACACACACTCTTAGGAATTTAAATCGAAGTAATCAAAAGGTAATACAATGAAACTGATGAGTTGGAAACCATCCCCATGGAAGTAATCATAGTCTCGAGTTGAACTAAGTCCAAATAGGTCACCACATTGAAATCATATCAATAACGAAATTGAGATGGCTATACTGAATCGATTTTATTTAGTTTGCATTGATGAATTCGAATGTTTTTATGACTTCTAAGTACAAATATTTTCAGATTTGAACCAAAAATGTAACGTATTGAACAGTGGAAAAGAAAGTTTGTATCATTATATACTTTCAAAAAGACTACACACAGTAATTTATAAGAATGTCAAGCAAATCAGGTTATAAAAGCTCGACATCCTACCTGGCATAGAAAATGAATTTTTATTAAACCGGTATTTTGGTCTTCGTTTGAAGATTGGTCTACGAAACTTTGTAGATGGGTTGGAATACTTGCTAAATGAGTTTACTTCGTGGAAACGATCGGACATGACTGATGAATTACAAGCTTTATAAGTATGCACTGTAGTTGGCGAGGTAGGGGGCGAGTAGTGAGACTTATATTCACATTGATCAGCAGCTAACGCTTTTTTGCTAGAATCCATCGCCCATCGAAACATATTTATCCCAACTAAAAAACAACATAGTAGAATGGGACCAATTATGGCACCTTCAGGACCTTGACAGTATATTCCACCAGCAATCGCCAAACCGGTAAAATAAGGATGTCCCGCTCTGTAAAATGTGCAAAATATATAATTATCACATTCGAATGGTTGTGAGTGGTTTTACTATACACCATGGCTTTAGATGATTGGTAGAAATGTTCGGTGTAGCACCAACCTTATACTATTTCTTGTTAATTTATGACAGCCACAACCCGTTTTACGTTATATAAGAACATATACAAGGTAGATGATTTATGTTAAGCTCAATTATCAATCTTTAAGTAAACGTATAGATAAAGTGTTGAAGTTCTAAGTTAAAACTTATTTATTACAAGTGTACGATACAAAAGAGAAATTATTCTAAAAACTAAATCCTCATTACTTTTCAACAAACGGCACAGAAATCCAATGTAAACTAGGGATTAGATGCATTAAACAGAACAAAATAACAATCTGATGTCGAATTTTTTGAAAGATTTGACAACTTCTAATGAGAATCCTTAATGATAAAATCTAATCACTTTATGATTAAGACAGGTGCTACTTATGGTACGGGATAATGGCAACGCAGTGCAGTGGATTGACTGATTTCAGAAAAATGGACACCATTAAACAATAGGCTGATGATAGCGCGCTTGCTGTATGGCGTGGATTAGATCGTTGATAGAGCCCTAAAGTTGGACTACTGATGTGTCCTATAGTGAGACAAATAACCGTATAATCCCCGACGGTTTATGACAGTTGTCTAAATCAACACAGTCCCCAACTTAAACGATTTCCAAACTGAACAATCTTCACAAATCTCTCATTGTAATAAAAGATTGAAGTAGTAAACATCAGCACACAAAATGTTTTAAAAAATATAGAGCTCACTAAACTTTTCGTTTGGGAATTTCTGTAGAAAAAAGTTGTCAGGAAAAAGAGAGATAAAGAATTGGTAAGAGGAATTATTTTTGGTTATATAGAACCTGCAATATCTGAGTCTGCAAGATAAGACAACCAAATGACATAACTCCTTCTGGTTAGTTATCGGATTCAATTAACGCCTTATTATAAACTGTGCCAACCACCCACAACACTGCACAGAAAAATGGTTTAGTTCCCGGAAGTACGACCAGAACGTACTGTAGTATATTTTTTATCGATAATTTAAATTTTTTGAATACCAATCATAAAAGCAATAACCATATAAAATTGCATATTTAATATCTGGTGCTAAAAACTGAACTACATAATTGTAAATAGTATATTCTTCATTAATCCAACATCTCTGGCAGCGACAAATAAATTCTTCAGTATTTATCAGTCTTCCTAACTTTTGGAGCATAGGATAGTGAACAAATGGGAACGTGGTGTATATGATATAACATTATGGGAAGGAGAGCGAAGTCCTAACATACACATAAATAGTCTAAAGGATTGCACTTTAATTTCTTACCCGACCAATAATATAAATAATACAGCATAGAAATACATTTACAAGAATTACACTGAAAATCTGTAATTATTTACTTCACTCAATTGTAGCTGAATGGGCTTCAAGAAACAAATAATATTGACAACGGAACCTTAATTGAATAAACACTTTGTTCTCAAGACTAAACGCATTTTCATTTCAAATAAAACAATTATTTACTAATAATAAATAACAGAAATAAATTTCGTTACCCTTTAATTTCTCTATAAACTGAAACATCAACGACATATGTTGGCAACAAATGGAAAAGTATGAGAAGACCAGCTTGAGATAATGACTGACGAATTATAATAATTTCAATTGCACCAGGTAGAACAGCCCAATATGTGCCTATAATTGGGACAGCGCCTAATATAGCAGCCAATACTGAAAATAGAATTAAGTCGAAAAAAAGTACAACACAATATAAATTAAATCATAAAATAAATTAAGAAAATTAATTCATAGTTTAAAAGATATAAATAATAAATTCTTAAGTGCCAGAAACCTATATACTCAATTGTTTAAATATGTTGACAAATAAAAGCTAGACAAATCGATCAGAATCGAGGATTGACTTTTAAAAGCGTCGTGGAAAACCTTCATTACCTAAAGACGAAATACTAACGTCAAAAAGATCTATCAACAAGTGAAAACAGTCAGTAATCAAATGACTGGAACTTCCACACCACAGCCTCCAAATGCCCTGATATGGCCGAAAATGGGGAGAGTCCGGCTTCCTTCTCAAAATGCTCTGACATGGCCATGCGTATATAGCCTCTGCCAGGGAAGTCCTACTCACTGCCCTCTCGTGGTGAGGGTGTTGTTTACGAAATTGAGAGGACGAAAAGCGAACGTTCGGCGCTTTAACCGGGTTGGTCGACACGCAGAGTTCACCTAGGGGAGTTGGGAAACACTGATTCCTAAGCAATGGTGCACATGGGCTCCAGTATCCTGAGGGGACAAACGGCGTATGAACCAATTATCGGTCACCGACTGTTGTAGTAAGCCCATGCAACTATTGTATTATTTGTCTGGTCACTGTAATTTAGACACTCAATCTACTATGTAAATTTCTATGTGAGTCTGATTCGGCGCGTGTCTGTACATCAATCTTTAGTCTATTCTCGCATTGGTTGTAACACACAGACAATTAATAATTTATCCACAATCGATTAACACATACTTACTTGGTTTCCCTGTGTGCTTGCTTATTGTACGTTTGCGAATTTTACCGATCTTTAACAATAAACTATCTCTACAACTGGTGTTCAGGCTTTTGAATAATCCAAAGTAAATCCATAATTCTACTAGGAGATTTAGCCTGCCTTCAATACTCAGTTAACGGGATACTATATATTGGAGTCAGATATAGAGGAAATAAGCCTCTCCACTATCACGGGACTGCATCTCTCACCTCCTTGTGAACTAGACTTCTGGGTCAAAAGCTTGGGAAGTGGCACTCTAAGAAAACTACCTGCCTCGGTTTAGGCGCCCGGGAAGTATTCTGGCCCTCACAAAATTCGAATTATGATTATAACTGGGAAAAATTATTCACGTCTCAATCCGTATTTTGACAACTTACATTCAAAATCATTTAGTAACATTCGTTTTTATTTTACATTGCGCCACTTGTCTATTCAATTTCATTCACATTTTGTATATTCTTTTATTTTTCAACTTACACAGCAGCTTGCCTATGGTGGAGACTCCCTCCTTTCTAAACGATCTCAAGTCACTGACTGGTCGAAAGTTGGATGCTACCACCGACTACAATTTCTGGAACAGCCACGTATGCTATTCAAACTGACCCCCTTCAACGTTCGCACGCTAATGCAGATCGGACAACAGACAGGATTGTCTATATCCTTAAAAAGTCTAAACACCGGTGTCTGTTGTCTATCAGAGGCCCGTATTTAAGACACATAAAATTGATTGCAGCCTCTGTTGCAACTAAATATCGAACCAAGCTAGGTTCAATGTGAGCCATCAACCCACCGAAAAATATAGATGAGCACTAGCTGCCATTGCATGGCACCATGAAATTAGCGAGTAAAATCGCCTGCGGCTTCGCGAAATATCCGGCACTGGGTTTCTTCAAGCTCCTTACAACAATTTGAAGCACGTCGGTTGATAAAAAACGAAGATTATTACGTGGTGAAATTGTGCAAAGCTTGCGTAAGGAACAAGAATCCCGGTAGTTGGAGTATGCTAACGAGTTTGCAGCAGTAGCTGCACCTGGTAACTGCTGAGTGCTCTTTCAACTCAACCGAATTGCTGGTATCAAGAAGTCTGGTGTGAGTCAAACAATCTGTGAAGCTGATAGGATCCCAATCAATAACACCTATTGACGTCTTGGACGATGGGCACAGTTTACTGAGGAGCAGCTCAACTGATCTGCTGCTCCAGAGGCATCAATCGGACTGTTCTACCCTCCACGGCCGGTGACAACTTATCCACTTAATGAGGTGAAATTCAGCAAGAAACCCCAATTTTCGAAGTGCCACATAACATCAGGCTCTGATGACTCATCTCCAGCCACTTCTAAAGATGGTAGAGACATTCTAGTTAAGGAAGTGATTGAGTTGTTTACAAACAATCGGGAATTAGGGAGCGTTCCAACATCGTGGAATGAGTCAATAGTTGTCCCTATATTTTCAAACGGAGTTCACGTCATCTATGCAACAACTATCGGGGGATAAGTCTACTTCCGACTGCATCCAGAATATTGGCTTGCGTTGTACTTCATAAATTGTTCTAAACCTGAGAAAAATTGACTCGCAAGGAGTAGGGTGGTTTTCGTTCTGGTCGAGGATGTATTGATCACATCTTCACCCTTCGCCGAATGCTAGAACGCTGTCATACTTATTTACAGACCAACAATCGGAGTGCTCCTTGACATCAAGGGCGCCTTCGTTTCGTTAGACAGGATTATCCTCTGGGATTATCTATTGAAGAACAGTGTGCCTGAGATTATTACCATCTTAAAATCACTACATACAAACAGTTCAGGCAGAATGAAGGCATATAATCCCCTCTCTCCAGTGTTTCATTCAAGCTATGGAGTTAAGCAAGGTTGTCCAATCTCGCCACTTTTGCTCAACTTTGTCATCAATAACATTCTGGAAACAGCTCTGATGGATATAGGTAATGACAGTGTGCATCTGTTGTCTAAAGAAGGACCTTTTAACATTCAGTCCACGGATGTTATCTTTCTGTACGATGATATCCAAGTCATGAAATCCCCACTTAATCAGTTGGCAATCAGTAGTACGTAGGTAAGGTGTTTGCTTTTCACCTTCTAAGAGCAAAGTATTTTTAAAAGACTGGTAGGACGCCAAACTCACTCTGCGTAGTGAGCAAAATGTAGTTGAGATGTTCGTGTATTTGGGTAGTGTTAGGTCACAATAAGCATAATGAATGGTAACTTTTGGGATCCATTTATGGACCAACAATATGCGTATATTTTCATCATATAATCGTTCAATAACTAAACTGTTCATATTCATGTCCCTTTTAGTATGAGCTTTATTTTGACCCATGGACCATTATTATACGATTTACCATTCTTGAATCATGCTCTGTCAATTAATAACTATCTCACCATTCAGAGCCACATTTGGCTAATACTTGTACAAAATTTGTTTCATATTTTGTTGGTACGACGTGGTATGTCTGGTTGATATATAAATCCAGTATGCTTGAAATGATTCATATCACAGAGGCTGAGATTGGTGTTCTGGACTTAACTGGCTGGGCTAGGCGCAAATCAGGACTCTAGGCTGCCCGTACGGGTTTTACGTGTCATTGGTCCGATCGATAATTCACTGCTAAGTGTCAGTATCATTACGCATACATTAGCAGGGCACTCAGGCCACAAGTTATAACAGGTAGCTGCATAAGTGCTGGTGGTGGAGTGAGTGATGACATCAATTCACGTATAATGAAAGCCAAAGAGGCTTGTGCCAATCTAGGCCATCTTCGGTGAATTTGTGATATTAGTTTGGTTCTAGAATGTCAGATGAACAACGCGTCGGTGAAAGCAGTTTCACCCTGTACTTGTGAAACCTGGCCTCTCCGAGTTGAGGATGTTAAAAAATTCTCTGTACTTGACCATCGTTGTCTACGAAGGGCTGCTGACATCCAGAGGCTACACCATGTTAATAATATAGAGGTTCAGGAACGTGTATTCGGATACAGAGACAATTAAATTAGTGCCACCATCCTGAAACACTGGTTTTGCCTTGTACTATGAATTTCGTCCCAGAGAATCAACATCGTGCATTATTTGTCGATGCTGGGAAAAAAGAAGAGGTGGTCAGTATATGACATGGTGTCGTGGTATGAAAGAAAGCTGTACAGGACTGGCTTCTTTTGGACCTTCACGACTACCTTGGTTGGGGTCATAGAGATCGTGCAACACAGTGGTTTGAGACGTTTTGAGAAATGGTTCAGAATGGAAACCGATGGCGATCCTGCTGTAACTTTCTTTTACTTCTCTCATAAAAGTGAAAGCAGCTTCCTTAACTGAAAGAATTCTTTTTGGTTGTATTCTTCCTAACTGAACTGCTTGTCCCATTATTATTATTATTATTATTATTATTATTATTATTATTATTAATATTTCGCTCTCATATAGTAATTCCTGTTTATTGTTGCTCTTCATTTTTAATATACTCACCTTCTATTCTCTGTCGTCACAACCTTATTTCTATTATGTGGAACATATATATTTGGTGCCCCTTTGTATTAATGTTATGTGCTCAAATAAATAAATAATCAAATGCCTAGAATTAAGCGGAAAATACAGAGTAGAGACTCTTTTGTACAATTTGGAGTCTCCACCTGCTGAAATCTATCTCCTAGACAAAAGACTTACATCAGGAACAAATAACTTGACGAACTAACGCCATGCATTGGTTTTACCACCCCTGACTTCTTAACCGATTATCAGATCCCACCGGTGTTACAGACCAACAAATATCAAGCGAAATGTTTGCATATGTGCTGGATGTTTTGTAGATGATCATATCAAATAACGCTAGACTAGTCATTGAAATACAGGAAATATCGACATGTCATAGAATTTTTATTCTTAATGACGATAACAATCATTAAACCTTTACTAAAGTGTAACTAAGTGATGACAGCCTCAGGATAAAATTTAAAAGAGATTTGCAATAAAAAACACGACCAAAAAAATTCGTCACAATAATTTAAATACGTCTGTTTGAGTTATCAATGGAAACGGAAAATTGTGCACAGATATTGTCACATTTTCTTCGATATTGATACTACTGCTACTATTACTATTAGTAATATTGTTATGTGTCTAAGCAGAAACGGTATCGCTTGAAAGATGTAGAGATGATGAAAAGATAAGTTACTAGAATTTAACTCTACCATTTAAACTTGTGCAAGTAAGATATGATAATTAACAAATTAACCATGCTCAAAATAGAAAGAAGTAATTCTACACGACACTTTTCCTCACGTATTATCATGTACTACTATTACCATTACCTAACATGCGATAAATGATTTTACAAGTTGATAATACAAAATGAACTAAGTAAAATAGCTCACCAGATGGAATTATTACAAGATCTAATCCAAATATAATATGAGTAAGTGATGTATATAAACCATAAAACAAAGCTAATTTTAATGTTGCAACAAATACTCCACTAATAGCTGATTCCACAGTTGAATATAAATGCGTAATTAATGAATTAGTTCCAGAAAAAGTTGGTGTTAATGAAGAAATAAAAGCGACAGGAAGATAACACGATCCACTCGCAGCTAATACATAATAGAGAACTGTTAAAAAAATGAGCTGAAATAACAAATAAATAAATAAACAAATACAATTGTAGATAGAATTGATAAAAATACTCGAAACTCAACTAAATAACTGAATACAGGCATTTTGGACAAACTGTTCAATTACATGTATTCTACAGTGGATAACAATACTGTACGATTATTACTCAAACTAGATGAATAGGAAGTGTACTTAATAGGAAAAAGAGGTGAGTTGTAGTAAAAACAGAACAGGAAATAAACAAGAATCTGGCTTAAATTTAAAAATATAAGAAAGTTTTATTCAATTATTTTAAAAGAAATTATCTAGAAAAAATTCAAGTGAAAAATTAGGTCACCATTTATAGTTTAGTTTATTTTAATAGGTTTGCTTTGATTTGAGGGTAATCAACAAAGCAGACAATATATTGGTGCAATTGTAATAGAGGGGTAGATCAGATATTTAACGGATTTGACGGGCGAGGATAAACTCCACTCTCGTTCATAATTTCGACGTTGGACCTGGCAACTAACCAAAATGAAGTGGGAATTCTTACTTAAATTATCGTAATCCATAACGCAAGGTGTGACTCGTTCTTCGTCGTTTTATTTGGCTTACATGAAAAATGTAGCTTTTACGGTGAAAATAACACTCCATTATGCTACTGACGCATCAGCTGTAGCGCAGTCAGTTATGATGGAAGAAAAATCATAACATGGTGAACGTCATACGTCCAATTAATTCTATCATAAAAATTATTCCAAAATGGCCAGGGATAAACTCCGTGTCGTTAAGTCAACTGAATGTATCGTAATTTCGGAATAAAACGACGAAGAACAAGTCACAACTTCAGTCAGGGATGACGATAGTGTAAATAAGAATTCTCACTTCATTTTGGCTAAATCCAACGTCGAAATTGCGAAAGACAGCGGAGGTTATCATCACGCAGTTCTAAAGATTTTGAACGGAAAGATAAGATCAGTTGTATTGTAGTAAACACGAACACAAGTGGGGACAATTGGATGTATTTGACAGGAATTACAGGACTTGTTAATAAAATCTAACAATCATATAGTAAATGATTAATTTGCAAAGTGTCCATCAATTGTTTCGAAATGACTCAGACTTCATTGTTCTAGCATTTTCATACAAATTGAATTCTGTTTCCATTCTTTACTGTTCGATCCCCTTGTTTCTCTGATGCCAGACATTCTGTTTCTGACTAACGTCATATACTACTTATGTCGATATAAGTAGCACACATCACAGTATTAACCCACAGTTACATTCATTCTTCATCTTCATTTGAATCTCCAGCTAAGTTTCGATTCTCATTTTTATATTTCGATATATAATTGACAAAATTTCCTCTCTTTTGCTCTGTATTCTAATAATTTCCACACCTGCTGTGTTGATCTGAGCTACGCCAACTTAAATTGATAAACATTCGTGGCAGGTCTTAACATTATTTATAATTGACTGTTCTTAACATTGATAAATATGACAAATAGAAACTATCATGTATATGTACCATGATAGATCATACACATATTGTGTAAACAGACAAATTCCTCGTTAAACTTGTCACAGTATCAATAAACAGACTTTTATCAACAACAACAAAGTTTTTTTTTACATATTCAAAAACAAATTGACAAAACTTCACATTTCAGATAAAGTAATCAATACAACAAACAAACAGTTGCAAACCTTCAGTGAATAGACCTACTATTAAAGGAATAATAAAGAGAATTTAACTATAACTGATCACATTGATCAGTAAATATTTTCAGGCAAATAATAATGGCATTAACTAAACAGAAGTTAACAGAAAAATTTAATTAAATGTAATTTAATTAATTTACCTACTTCAAACTAAAAACAGAAACTTCAGAGTTAATCATACAAACACACACACACACATTGGAAATGAATCAGTTATAACATGTAGGTACTAATGATGCAATGAATGAAGACATAACTAGAAATCATACAATCTAACTTTGATTTGGTTAGAAATTGATTGAATTAGTGTAATTCGCTTATATATACTACTAATAAGCCGATATTTTAGACATGATTACAAATGAAGTATGTACATATGTAGTTAAATGGTGAACTGTACATCGACTAAATAAGTACAAAAGGTGTAATTTGTTATGACGAATTTTTCTACTTTTTTCGTAAATGACCTTTCAAATTTACAAATAGTGTAATATGTATTATGGAAAAGTATGTAACTAATAATCTACCAGTATATGGAACTTACAAAAGCAATCATAAAATTCATTGCCACATGCCCACCACTCATTATCAATGAAAATAAAGTTGTCATTAACTGAGCAATTAAATTCACATTACTACGCATCAAACCCCATAATGATTCTGTAATAGTTGCAAATGTGCCCAAGTTCTGTTTGAAAATCACAAACAACTAAATAAAATTGAACAAATACAAAAACGACAGTATACAATAAACAAATAAGCATCACTATTATTATTGTTCGTAATTAATGTAATAGTTAATGAAGAGAATAAATCTGTTTGTCTTAAGTATTAAGTCATGACAGAAAAAGTTACGATCCGATCAAGATATCGCATAAACTAAAAAAACAAGATCAAATTTGGAAAGTTACTAATTATGTTAATGTTATAAATCAATTTAAATCCAAGCTTGAAAGAGTTATGATGAGGAATTGGATGTTTTGTACCACTATAGTCACTCTACGTAGTTACGCTCCAAATCATCATGGCTACCCCCACAAGCAAGCATGAGTTATTAGTATTATTCATTTGAGCATTAGGCAAATACGTTTACGTATCGTGAAAAACGAGTCCAATAACAGATTATAACAATACGTATTAGCCTCAAGTTAGTAAAGACGTTTACAAATAGTTAACTGATAGAAAATAATATAAAGGACGATGGTTTTTTGTAGACTGCAACCGTCCATTCGAAATAAAAAAATTTAAATCATATATGCTACTTTTGAAGATCAATTAAACCCAGAAAATGAGTTAATTAGATCACATTTTTCGTATTCAGAACTTAGCATCATCAATGACCAGAAGAAGTAAGAGGGCAAACATGATTCTAGTAAATTAGAAAAAACAAACAACTGAATATCACTCACTGAACTTAAAGCGTGACGATTAAATATCCAAGTAGTATTGATAAAAAATCGATTTAATGAAACTCTCCCAACCCCACGTGGAGTAATAGTATTGGAATTTATATGATTATGGAACAAGAACGGTAAGGTTTGATTATTAATGACTGATTGATTAGTCATCGATGTAGTGTTCATTGGCTGGGAAAAAAGTACATAAATACGCATGCGTGTTAAGATTTGTAAATTGTAATATTAAACAAATTTGAAAGTAGCATTCATTAAAAAGTGAACAATACGAGAATTAAATAGAAATGGGTAGTAACCTGTGAAATGATTAGCGAAACACTACAACACTATATGGACTGGTATTCGAAACGTGCTGATAGCATAGAAAGTGGATATATTTTGGTTTACAAATAATCATTTGTGCTGCCTAATTCTAAAAGATATAATCATTGTCGTTATTTTACCTAGTGTCTTTTGTGTTAATGAAACTTAATAACAGAAATAAGTTTAGTGTACACGGCAGCTTCTGAACTGACAAACGCTCCATTTACTGAAATATTCAATGTTGAACGGAGTATCACTGGGTCGAAAATAAAAGTGATCAGATCAATAAACAGCACCACCACATGAAGCTACCATCCTTGTTTAAATCATGGTCCTCCAAGCACAAGGTTTCTGAGATAATGGATTTCAGTAATAATTAATCCCCGGTTAACCTCTTATTGTTCTACACTTGTGTCGAAATGAAAACAACAAAGACATCAATTTGAAAATTTGAAAAATCACAATTTATCTTATCTATGTAGAAGAACCCATACTATAATATGACGATATAAAATTTCCTACTTATTAAATCAGTTCGTCAAAATTTTTTCATAAAATCTACACAAATAAACAGTGTATATGCTTTACAAAGAAGAAAAGGAAAAAAGAATTATTCACACATTATACATTCATGATACATATTGATAATTACTAACCAGTAGAAGTCATACCATATATGAATACATATTAATCTGATTACCTGATTGATAAAAGAATTATAAATATTCTCCCACAAATATAAAAGTTGTTCTTTTAATATTGCCTTTGAATTCGGATCTGCTTCGAAAAGTTCATTGATCTATCATCATTATAAATTAATCAATGTGATCAGAACAAGAGTTTATCATTAAAAAAGACATACATAAGACAAACAGTAAATAAATTATTTCACTAATTAAAACCAACACTTATTAATAATATAGTCAACAATTTAATTAGGAAATCTACAATAATTTATCATAACAAAAAGGACAGACGACATCATTACTAAAACAAACTAGAGTTCACCTAAACGAATTAGGAACAATGTTTATTTCAAGATATTCAAGAGAAAAACTTTTTTAAAAATGCATCCATATATATAATCAATCGAATTTACAAACCTTTTCATAGTCAACAGTAACAAAAGAAGTACAAAAAATAGGTGAATCAATCGTATATAAGTATTATTGGGTTTTCTTTTGCCTACAGCCTCCAAAACAACTCTATTGACCAACAAAAACATAATATAGGAACAGGCTCGAAGCAAACGCGAAAAATGCTCGGCTAGTTTCTAGTCAATCAAAAACAGCTTAAGTGAATAGAGTTTGTTAATTAGAAAACAATAATATTGCAAAGTGTAAACAGACGTTATGCTATTAGCAGGTCTATTAATGTTCGATAAGAGAACATGGTAGGTAGATAATATCTCTATTACATAGCTGTTCATTACTACAACTCAAAGAAAGTATTCTGTAGAACAAACATCAACATTAGTCGGAAATTACAATATAAGTATAGCTACGCCATAAATGAATAGGGAAACTAAGTAATAGACCCATAATTAATTCATAACAAATTAAGGAAAATAAAACATAATGATAGTTTGTAAGCCAAATGAAAAATTACAGCCAGGGTAAATGAGAATACAATTATCTAAATGCCTAACTATTATACAACAAAAATACAAACAATAATTCTCTGCAAGATAGTTCCAAAAGTTACCGCTCTTCACAATATCATCAATATAACAGAAGCAACCAACTCTTCTGACCACTTCATATGCATGGCTAGTTTTATCAGTCCTGGTGAACCAAACTTCCGTGAAATCTTTACGAAAACACCATGACGTTCTGAGGATATCCAGGTGTCCATTAAATGGCAAGTATAAAGCACAGAACAACACTCTTAATGAATGGTTAGAGATACTAGTGTCTAATATTCAAAGTCAAAAATAATTACTAGTCTATGGTGCGAGTACTATTTGAGCACTGTTGAGGTTGAACATAAAAATCAAAGTAAAATACGAAAACTGATCAATAGGGTCGTTGAAATTCGCTTTATAAATATCGGGAAAACATAATGTTGACTAATGAATAATTAAATTAGGTAAAAGCATTCATTGGTGAACACATGCTCATAGACTTTACCTTGAGTCACATTATTTGTAAGAGAGCCAGCTCAAACTGAAGCAGATGGGGAGAGACTTAAACCCGAGACGGAATGGATGAAAACCTTGTACTCTAATGACTGTGGAGATTGATGAAAAAAGTGTAGTGACTAAATTAAGATATCTTGCTAATCACCGAAGTAACATGCTATTGGTTTAAGCTATTTAGAAAATGTTGACCTCATATCATAGTGGAGTCTGAAATGTTGGAAATCAATTCTTAATATGGTCCAAAAACCTGAGGATAGATGTTGTTAGTTCTTCACATAACAAACTTCCGGATATTTACACTAACAATCCCTTGTTAATTTATGATAATTCCGTGGATCACTTTAACATCTTATTCCTCTCCTGCTTTTGAGACGTATGAAAACTTGCACTGATATGATTTACCATAAGGAGTCCTATATTTTTCTGCCTACGCTCTGTCTCTGGTAATTACATTCTGTAAACCTTATTTGGTTTCAATCTTTCAAGGCCTTCAAAGTATATGTGAAAATTCGAATGAAGGGCACAAAATTATAAAGGTACAAATCATGAAAATTGATAAAGCAAAGGGCATGAGTTGAACAAAATGTTTTGAATGAATCAAATGAGTATCTTGAGCCGTTGAAACTAGAGATCTCCAAGGAGAAATCATTTTTATTTCTAGTGAGTTAATATATGAAAGAACAACTTGAGAAATAAAAATCAGATTGAACCTACCTTTTCGGATATCCAACTTCGTCCAGCTTGATAAGCATTTGTAACTAAAACATTAAACATTCCATCAACTTGTTCCCTTTTAGGAAGCCAACTAGAGAAGAGAAATAAACAATAAAATTACTTTTCTAAACACAAAACTTGCATTTTACAGAAATATCAGGAAATAAGAATAAATTCAATAAAGTGATTTTAATATTTTAGTGATAATTCTTGCAAACCAATATTAGACCTAACGAGATGTGGTGGAAAACGAAGCGAATTCAGCACGAAAATGTATATTTGAAAATTGCAGTGTAAGCTGTATTTTTGTCTATGGAATGGATAATGTTTATCAGATTTTCGAATTTCGGTGAAAAATATGTAGGCTAGTTCCAATACTGGACAAAATATAACCATTGACATTGTATAACTTCAACCAATTAGTTAAAATGTATGGTTGGCGAGTGTAGAAGGATGTGTCCATTTATTTAAATGTTAAAGCAAGATTGTTAAAAAACTGCATAGGTTTATATATTTGTACTACACATAGTGAAGAAGGAATACGAAACCGGGTGAAGAGAGGCAAATAAAATTTGTGAAAAATTAATAAAATGGTCTATTGAGTCATGTTACATCACTTTTGAGCACATAGACTACGGTTGACTGCGAACAAGTAGTGGCATCAACTGGTTGTTTAAAGTGATGGATATACAATTGGTTTAAACCTCTGTTCAAATGCTGTGTTTATAACACCAACTTATATCTCATCAGACAAGAGTTTTAACGAGAAACAGTATTGCATCGACAAGAAAAACCTGCTGGTACACCGGAATCTTGCAGGTTTGAATAATTATTGTTGTACCTTCATTGATGAAGGGGGATCACCTTACCAGGTCGTAATGAATTGCTTGATACGTTACCTGGTACTTTCCCCAAATGAAACAACTGTCTGAAATTCAACTCGATTAACCGCCTATAGTAACCGTCGTTTTGACTTAATATTTGGTTCCGATTTCCTTTTCACTAATTCTTTTAAATACATAGTTTGCATCAAATTGAGTTTCATTTTATTATATGATTGAGTTCATAAATCAATCGTTTAGTTTTTCCATATGGAACTTGAGGATTGGTTCTATGAGCTGCTTATTGACTCAACCATCTCAATTGAGTTATTTATAAATCGTCAATTATCTAGGTAGGTATCTTTAAAAAAAAATCACTACATTGATTGTACAGAATGATGTAATAATGTATACATTGAAATAAGATTTCCATTTAGATAGGAATGTAACAATATTTCAAGAAATCTGATGCATAAAATGTTGAAAAGCTTCCAGATGAATTGTACACGTGAAATGTATAAATAAATACAATGTCCTTAAATATCCTTACGTAAATAAACACAAATACACACTATCGTATAAGTGACTAAGAAGTCTATAAACATCAGAGAAATAGAAATAGAATGTTGAATACCAATAAACCATAAAATCATCAAACAATAACAGTATTTTATAACGATACTATTTGTCGGTAATTGAACTAAAGAATTTTTTTAACATCAGCAGTTAGTAAATGAATATATTTACAACTGAACAGCGATATATGCCAATGATGCTAGTCGCTAGTCTCTGACAATAAATATACACCACGGACGAATCACTTAGGCCGCTACCCTCCAATATTTCATTTACTAACTGTTATCAGAGTATTTTCATGAGATTTAACAATGAATAAGCTGCAGTGATGGTTATTTATGATTGTGCGTAATATTCAGCAATCACTGCTTTATAACAAATTAGCATACAACTACTGTCATATTTTATGAAATCGGTTAAGTTTGAATACAATAAGAATGGTAATTAAGATTTATTGAAGTAATTTTATACATATACTGTTTGATGTATCAGGTTTTGTTTGGTAAGATGAGCTCAACCTAACTAGTAAGTATGGGAAGTTTTATCTATTCGGTTTTGTTAAGATTCTTGAACTCTAAAAGGGGATATCAAATTAACACTTAACACAAAATAAGTCAAGTACTATTATCATTATATTATTATGAATCGAAAAGCCTCATTGGGAACGTATATCAAGATACCTTGTGTAAATAGTGTGGTCTGAACTTGTAACATTTACATTTAATGGGGATTTGGATGTAAACGATAAACATAGCCACATACCCTGCTTTTAAGCTGCAATTTAATGGTATTTAAATAATCATACATTAGCTGAAAGACAAAGATTAGGCGTTAATACAGGTAAAAGACTATGATATATGTTTAAAATGTCATATATCAACAGACTACACTGACAACCGACTACTTAATTACGATATCTGATGGGAAAATCAGTAAATTAGCTTTCTGTAGAAAGGAAATAAAGAAACTGTACATTGTTCGTTGCCAGTTGGAATGTTCTAGTGGCCCGATATCTGACTCCGGTTAGATCGTTTGATGATTATTATTAAAACATACGTTTCGGTTACCCTTGTATATAATTATCGACTTAATTCGCGTTACAGAACAACGGAATAAGTCAAATACGAGAATGAATTTCGAATACGAACACTCTGTACACTCGTTGGTCTGAACACACAATCAGAGAAACGAAGTGAGAAAGCGAAGAGAAGAGAGCGAAGCGGACCAGAGGTGTGTGAGCTAATTCAATATGATAAAGCGTGACTTAATACTTACATTCAGACAAAAATAAATCACAGGCACGTAATTTAATGAATAGCGTAAGCAGTCAACACACATAGATCATATAAACAATCAGGATTAATAAGCGAATAGTTGACAAGGTCAAAATGTGGCCTGAGAAGAATGAATAAATTGATCTGTCCAGAAGCTAGAATAACCTATGTGGGCTTGGCATGGAACCACCCACTGCAATATCTAGGATATCTACTCCTGTTTCAATACCACTGACCTATATGTTTCACTGTTCAACGCTTTATTGATAAAATCACTTGTTAGCGATACCAAATGAATACTTTCATTGTGAATCTGAAAGAACCAAAGAAATTATTATTATTATTATTATTATTACTAGTATTAGTGTGAAAAACAATATAAATTATGCTGTGAAATCTGTGAGTACCAATGTGGTGGTAATTGTGTTAACATGGTAATTTGTAACACCGTACTTTCAGGTTCCTACTTGAATTGAATCGTATGATACGAAAACACAAGAGTCGGTCAATAAACTTAAAAAACTACAACATACGACCCACAATAAACAGATATCTACGAGTAAGAACTAAGAAATTTTTCTTTTCAACGATATCATTTACTAAAGCTGTACAGTCGTATTTATAAATAACTTAAATAAAACACTTCATCGAAAAATAGGACGATTACATCATATCACGAGCCAAACAGTTATTTGGTAACTGATAAGTGAAGGGAGACAATAGGATGAAAACAAATGTGAGGATGATCATCTTAATGAGTATGAGAAGGGTGAAGAATAAATGATATACGTGACGATAATAAGTAATAATTAAAATTAAGGAGATTAAAAACACAAGAAGAAAGTAACAAAATCATATTACCCTGTACTAAGAATAAGTGTTAGGCCCATGGTAGAATGATGGCTTGTATATGTCTCTTTTGTACATAGAGTTCAGGTCTGAAATGATGGGTTGCTAGCGCCTCTGATGTGCATAAGTGATTAATTTGTGCTTCTTTCGAAACAAATCGTCTGAATGTACAGATGATTTTAAAGGACCAGTAAGCTGGGATCATGTGACTAGAGTTCACAAGATTTTATAATAATAAGCTGTTGATTGATTTACATTCACCTTTAGGAAACCACGCGCGATGCGTTTGAAGAACTCCTCGCATTATCCCAGTGAAAAGATAATGGTGATCGTCTGCTGCAACTGTGCTCAGACAATCGTTTATTTTTAGCAAACACAAATTTTAAGCATAAGGAGAGACATCGTCTAACATGGCGACCCCCTGCACCAAACCATCGATGGACTGAAATAGACCATATTGCCATAAGTCATCGTTGGAGAGGGTCGACAGAAGAGTGTCCCTCGTTCTGAAAACGAGGCTGATCCAGATGTTGCTTGGAAAGACATACGAAAAACTGTGGAAACAGCAGTGGCATGTATTAGTGATTCGAACCAAAGGGTCACGAAAAACCAGTGAATTTCCGCTACATCTATTGCACTGATAGACTCTTGTAGACTTATCCCATCAGGCTCTTAACACGATGATAAGCAAAAACAAGTCAAATGTAGGTTGACTAGAAATCTAAGGAACGACCATGAGCAGTAATGGGCAACAAAAGCAAAAGAGATGGAAAAAGCGACGGTTATAGGTAACACAAGATAGCTCTACAGACTAATAGAAGAAACTGGGATTAATAAGTCAAGTGTAAGCAAGACTATCTCAGAAAAAGACGACACTCTTATCTGCTCCCAGTCTAGACGTTTAGAACAATGGGCCGAACACTTTGAGGAGCAGTTCAACTGGCCTTCAGCTACTCTACAACTACTCACCATTCCCAGACAGTGTGAATGGAACATTGAAGTAGGTCCCCCAACTCTAGCTGAAGTTCAAAAGGCTATAGTTAATCTGAAACGAGGAAGGGCAGCAGGTCCAGATGGATTGGTCCCAGAGGCCTTTCAGTATGGTGGTCTAGTTTTAGCGATTAGGTTGACTAATATTTTAGCTAAAATCTGGGAGTTAGACGTTATCCCATCTAACTGGTCACAATCACTTATCGTCCCAATATTTAAGGAAGGGTCAAAATCATCCTGTGACAACCATAGAGGGACTAGTTTTACTAATATAACATCTAAAATACTAGCCTCGATAATTTTCGGACGCCTAACTAAGACTCGTGGACTGCGAACACGAGAGAATCAAGCTGGCTTCAGACATGGTCGTGGATGTATCGACCACATATTCATCATTCGTCAGGTCCTAGAACACAAGCATACTTATCGGCGTCCGACAATGATGGTCTTTGTTGACTTAAAAGCAGCATTTGACTTTGCAGACCGAGAGGTTTTGTGGTAATGTCTTTCATTGAAAGGTGTACCTAAGAAATACATAAACCATATGAATGTTCTTTACTCGAACACTACTAGTCGAGTCAGAGCTTATGGCGAACTTTCATCCGCTTTTGCAACCTCAAGTGGTGTCCGGCAAGGCTGTCTATTATCTCCACTTTCGTTTAACTTCATCATAGACCTACTGCTGGAAATAACGTTCTCGTTGTCTGAATTTTCGGGCATTGATCGCCTATCACGAGGTCTACTTATTAACTTAGAATACGCAGAGGACAGTGTGATTTGATGAAGACGCTGATAAAATGAAGTCTTGAGGCGGCACTGAGCAACAACTGCAGGATGTTTGGGATGCGTTTCTCCCCCTCTAAATGCAAGTTGTTGCTTCAGGACTGGCCTTCGTCAACACCTGAACTAAGGATAGGGAGTGAAGTAGTCGAACGCATCGACAACTTCACTTATCTTGAAAGTCTGATCAGCCCTAATTGGTTGGTGTCCCAAGTTGGTTTTCGATATATAGGTCTCTGCAATGTATTTATGAGTTGTATACAATAAAATAGATGGGTGAGGAACTGAGTCTGGTAGAATTCATCCACAACAAATTATGTAACTACGCTTTACTACACAAGTGGAAATTTGAACACGAAGCTTTTGTGAACACAAGAGGAAAGTTGCTTTATACAACTAAGGGTTATTTGGCATTTTATAAAGGCAAGGCACATTAGCTTCAATGAACATCTTGACAATTGTTTCATAAATATATTGAGAACCTGTTTATAGAAAACCAATAGCTAGCCACTTATCACAGGTCTTATGAAGGTATTCAGTTTCTACTTTTTCACCGTTTAATATAGTAGATAAACAGACATATCAAAATGCAACCACCCACTAAAGTTTTTAACAGCAGAAAAACTGATTAAAAAAGGCAAGAATCAATATCGAATAAATAAGCTGGAAGAAAAAGACAAACGTAATAAGACAGGAGACTTGAGAGAAAACAAGGGGTGAACACGTCACTGTAATCGATATGGAATTATAACGCTCAAAGTTAACAACTAATGATCTTCATTTTAACACTTATCGGGGATTCAACCACTAAAACATATTGGCAGTGTTAGTACATTTAGTGATCGGATCACAACAGTTACTCCACCATGAGAATATCTTTAGGAAAGCCATAAATATTTTCTCTTGCTTATTTTCCACCGACTGAAACTAGCCCTTCTTATTAATAATACAAATATATCTATTATTCTTCATATGCTTAAAAGGTTTACCTACGACCACAAATAAGCTTTGATTTACTCTTAGATATATTGGATCGTATTCTACTATTTTACTTCCAATCAAAATTATAAGTAGACACAGAAAAATACTACAAATGGACCCAAACGATTCATTCATACGAGAGGCAAAGATAGTTGTCAATAAGTTATAAATAAACTACCAGACCAATTTTGATGCAAATCAGGAAGCTTCCTTTATCAAAATGAACACATAAAAGGTACAGATTGGTTTCGATTCTTTAGGAACACAAAACAGTTCTGACCTTTATTGAATCTCGTAACCTACTCTATTGCTTTTTTTATTCTACAAGACTAACGAATTCCCAGTCCAACCCAAAATACACATTGAATTACCGTTTGATACATCCTAACAACGAATGTTATCATCCACTGTATATATACGGCTCTTAGTGTACCTGGAAATCCGGTGAATATTTTCGTAGGACTTAATTCTATTCGGTTCGTCTTCTTTTTCTCACCACACATTTAAGTATCAGATTCCCGAAGAATATAACTGAGAATGAATCAAGAGAGCACGAGTATGAATCCCAAGTTATGGAGAAAAAAATTATTTGGCTCTTAATAAGCACTGGTAGTCCTATAAGCTTTCCGTAAATATTGAAGCCTTAGCCATACGAAAATTCAAACCCCCTTTGTGTATTGAAAAACAGTTTGTTCTTACCTTAAACCTACCCTGGTAATATTGACTTATTAACCAGAGTGATTAGGTTTTGAATTATGTTCAGATTATTATTATTATTATTATTATTACTATCCTTATCTCCTCTTACCCCATTTGCAGCCCAGTTGACCTTTTATTTTTATATATAAATGCTCTTAACAAGTATATGTGTGATCAGATTGTTCGAAATGTATTGAGCTAATATATAACATAGTTCTGATAATCTCCGTCTTCTTATTACATTATCGAAATTTCCGCAAACAGATCCATTATATGTAATAGCGAAATAATCAATTTAATTCAGAATTACTTGGTAGTATTATAAATAATAGTAATAAGAACTATTTGGACATACCTGAAATGCTAAAAACATTGTCAGTAGACAAAAAGCGAAAATAAAGAAGACAAGAATAAAAAGACTGACGACACTGTCTACCCATGAGTCCAAATAACGACAAAGCTAAAATAAATTAAAAACCAAAGTTTGTTTGATTTCATAGAAATAATATTAATTTAACCATTCAATATGTAAAACCAAGAAACGTAAAACAGATTGACATATTTGATAAGCCCTGAGATCATTGCCAAAATAATATGAAGTAAAGCACTCAAATTGGTAACTGACATATTATTATTATTATTATTATTATTATTATTATTATTATTATTATTTATTAACCTCATACAAATTTCCAAACTCAGCATCAAGCCTAACTTTCATTATGAAGGTTAATGGTACTACCTAGTCGCCCAAACTGAAGTACATGAAGAGAGATTCTACAGCTCCAACTATTATGCCACTACGCATAAACTAGAAAACAAGCTTAAATGCAACTACTGGATATACAAGATAACAATCAATTGAATCTCTAGTCTATCTAGTTAACTTTAGTTTCAAGTGATACAAAAAACACAAAGTAGTAGTTTCTACATTCAGTCAGTCAGCTGCAACGTAGTACCAGGCACATATATGCATCGGTCCAAGTTGCCATACCGCATTAGCACAACAAGATGAACACCGGATTCATAGAAGTAGTTAATTCAATGGTGGTAATATATAAAAGAAAGATTGAATATAAGGAGATAGTACAGGAAGAAAGAATTAGTTCGTAGAAAGAAAGATATGAAGTGATTTTAATCTCTTAGTTTAAAGGAAGACAGAGAGTGTATACACCTACGCCATTGTGAGCGATTCTGAGCCATGTCACCAAGAGTCTCCAACCATTGGTTACGATAGTCGCGCAGAACCCAACCAAGTAGTCTGTATCTACCAACATGGCTCAGACCAGAAGTTAGTAACTTTTTGGACTGATGCCACGCATTGGTTTGGCCGCCCCTAACTTTCCTCCAACCATCTCCAACACTAGTCAGCATTGCGCGTCGTAGTAATCGGTGTTCAGGCATACGCAACACGTGGCCCAACCATCTCAGTCGATGAAGATTCACAACCTCATCAACTGATTTACCGCCATTCCCTAATACCCTGCGTCTAACCTCACAATTACTTACCCAGTGATCCCAGCAGACACCAGCAATATTTATAAGGAATCTGTGGTCAAATACTAGTAGCTTACGAGTATCTTCAACCCTTAACGGCCACGTCTCGCAGCCGTAAAGTAAAACAGAAAGAACTGCATTGCAGAGTACGTGTCCTTTTATTGATAGACGGATATCTCGCTAAAATTGGACCACCATCCTTGAAGACTTCTGGGGCCAATCCATCTGGACCTGCTGCCCTTCCTCGTTTCAGATTAACTATAGCCTTTTGAACTTCAGCTAGAGTTGGGGGACCTACTTCAATGTTCCATTCACACTGTCTGGGAATGGTGAGTAGTTGTAGAGTAGCTGAAGGCCAGTTGAACTGCTCCTCAAAGTGTTCGGCCCATTGTTCTAAACGTCTAGACTGGGAGCAGATAAGAGTGTCGTCTTTTTCCGAAATAGTCTGACTTACACTTGACTTATTAATCCCAGTTTCTTCTATTAGTCTGTAGAGCTATCTTGTGTTACCTATAACCGTCGCTTTTTCCATCTCTTTTGCTTTTGTTGCCCATTACTGCTCATGGTCGTTCCTTAGATTTCTAGTCAACCTACATTTGACTTGTTTTTGCTTATCATCGTGTTAAGAGCCTGATGGGATAAGTCTATAAGAGTCTATCAGTGCAATAGATGTAGCGGAAATTCACTGGTTTTTCGTGACCCTTTGGTTCGAATCACTAATACATGCCACTGCTGTTTCCACAGTTTTTCGTATGTCTTTCCAAGCAACATCTGGATCAGCCTCGTTTTCAGAACGAGGGACACTCTTCTGTCGACCCTCTCCAACGATGACTTATGGCAATATGGTCTATTTCAGTCCATCGATGGTTTGGTGCAGGGGGTCGCCATGTTAGACGATGTCTCTCCTTATGCTTAAAATTTGTGTTTGCTAAAAATAAACGATTGTCTGAGCACAGTTGCAGCAGACGATCACCATTATCTTTTCACTGGGATAATGCGAGGAGTTCTTCAAACGCATCGCGCGTGGTTTCCTAAAGGTGAATGTAAATCAATCAACAGCTTATTATTATAAAATCTTGTGAACTCTAGTCAAAATACCCACCTTAATATATTTGTGTTTGGTTTAAGATATCCACCTGGGCATTAAAGTCACCTGCTATGAGTACTATGTCTGAACGTTTAGCTTTCTGACGTTCAGAAAGCTTTCTGTAAAAGTCATCTTTCACTTTATCCGGGCTGCAGTCAGTGGGAGCGTAGGCAGAAACAGTGAAAAGGCAACGACATGTGTCTCTATCCTTCAGAGTTCTTACGGAGCCATTTAGCAGAACAGCACATAGACGACTGTTAATGGGGATCCACTCCAATAGTACTTGTTCCGCCTTCGTACTTAGTGCTATCCTACACCTGTCAGTCCACGAGAACTAGCCATCGGGTCGCCAGATACACGGAGGGTGTATCTCGTCGGCTCTCCGTTTTGCCGAGGTGAGGTCAAGTGAATGACCCCACTAGGATCCTGTATGCATGTTTGGGAGACACATCATGCATCAATCGTACGAGATTCTAGGGTTTTAGCCAAGGAGGCCTGCTGACCGATTCGACATAGCGTGTGTACGCTGAAGGCTCCAATGTGTAGTTTGGAGCGAGGTTTCAGTAGACCTGGGACAGTGTTTTGAGCACTAGAATCGTTGGCTATGGTGACACTTGAGGAGGAAACCAAAGGAGGAAGCTTAGATTTGAAAGTCAATGTAGGAAGAGGAATGATAAGAATTGAAGAGGGAGGTTGATTATGAATACAGTGGTCTTGAGTGCTGTTAGAGGTATGAAGGCGGTTATCACTTCCCGGTTGCCCACACCGTGGAAGGGTTCTTCTGGAGGTACCTGAAAAGGAAATTGGATTAGAGGTGGTCTTAGTGACCTGAGGGCGTGACTGCAGTGCCCAAGAGACAGCTGCTTGAGGTCGGTCACACACGACCTTTTTATGAGTAGTTTTGTGTTAGCTCCATACTTGTTGAGACCTTACCACCGGAGACGGATATCCGTGGGATAAGGCGAGGTGTGCATTTTTAGGGTCGACCTTTTCTAACCCAACCCTTCCTTTTGGGAAGGCAGCATCGCTGTTATACTGGTTGTCTGAAGGAAACATTTTACTGCTGTCACAGCTTTGTACAGTCAGCAGTACGACTTCGCCTTCGGACCTTGGTTTTGTTGCTTTTAGTCTTACCGCTCTTCAACCGCCCTGTCTGGCATGGTAGGACCTTGAGGAACGGTTATTTCAGCCAGTATAGCTCAGTTGCTTCATCACGATAGGCAAGCCCGACCACCACGTCAAGGTACCAACAACGGTCGGGAGTTTCTACATTGTTCCCACTTGATTAATTCCATTAACTTATTTAATGTGATCTGAAACTTAGAGTTTATTTCACATTAAAGTTTAAAGGAAAGTTTAATAAAAAAACTATACATGAGTTGTGCAGATCCATTTGAACATTTTTTAAACATAGTTACTAAATTGAAAAATATATCGTTTAAAGATCCCCATCCTATTAAATATTTGAACGAAGAATATTCTTTTCGACAAATCCTCTTCAGGTTCTATAATTATGTATCCAAAGTAATCAATAATCCGAAAAATGGCCAGGTTAAGGGCAAAGTACATGGTTTAAAGTATGTGAATTTAGGATTGCGATAAACAACATACAATAAAATTGTTAATAAACGGAATACACTCATTGAGACATTAAATAAGAAAGATTAGTTCAGCCGATATTAAGTTTTTCGTGCGTTTGTCGATAACTGTGGTAACATATTCGGTGAAAAGATTGCGGAAATGAATAAGAAGGTTACCTTCATTAAGGATTGCGTCAAAATGCACAAATATCCTAAATACTACTGGAAAATTCTTCGAAGAAACCATATTTATCCAAACTCAAAATCTCTTAAACGCCATGCACAAAATGTTATCGATTCTATTCGTCCACGCATCCCGTTATTAGAATTTAACATTTCACAAAGATCTCCTGTATTATATGAATTATCACATAACGAACACAATCTTTTCACCGAATATGTTACCACAGTTATTGACAAACTCACGAAAAACTTAATATCGGCTGAACTAATCTTTCTTATTTAAAATTGTTAATGTTGATATGACTCAGAATGTTAACTTGAATCTGAGTATTTGTTAAGTGAAATTCAAAATCCATGAGCAGAATAAATATGGGTCAGATAGGGTGAGAGAAATAATAGTACAATTACAACTCGGTCAAATGTTTAATGGAAGGCTATATTGTATGAAAAATTATTAAGACGTAATAAGGAGGGATAAAGGCGAAGTGAATGAATGATGTATAGGGAGATTAATAATGATGTTTAACCAATAGTAATAATAATAATAATAATAATAATAATAATTTATCGAAAAGAATATTCTTGGTTCAAATTAAACTAAGACATTAAAATCACTTCATATCTTTCTTTCTACGAACTAATTCTTTCTTCCTGTACTATCTCCTTATATTCAATCTTTCTTTTATATATTACCACCACTGAATTAACTACTTCTATGAATCCGGTGTTCATTTTGTTGTGCCAATGAGGTATAGCAACTTGGACCGATGCATACATGTTCCTGGTACTGCGTTGTAGCTAACTGACTGAGTGACTCTTCGTTCAGATACTAGTCTTTGGGAAATATATAACAGAAAACCTAACCACTCGCGCAAAAGATTTACAAACTATGATGGAACAATCAGTTTATCACTTCACTAACAGGTACATTTTTACATGTTCTTAACTTTTAACAAACAAATGTTAGTTATAAACAGTAAATTATTCAGTGATACTACTTTTTATCTTTTACCTTTACATTGTTAGCAAAAATGAATTATTATTAAGCATTTTAGCTACACAGAGTGAGGAATATCAGATGAAAAGTGAAGGTGTATTTACTATTCATTTTCTCGATCCAATCCAGTATTTCTTCACACATACTTTCCCATTCTGCCTTTTTTGAAATATATCCCTTATGTTTAACCTTTCTTGTAATTATTGCTACTATATGATTTCGATCATTTTTGCTAATCTTGTCAATTTTATCTTCTCATGATAACAGTGGTAATGGCAACTTTGGTCAACGCACATTTCCAGGCTCTTAGTCGATAATTGACTTATTTCATGCACTTCAATTAATATGAATGACAATTATTACTACCACCTTACGATCATCAAATAATGCTTTTTTACAGATTACTTCATGAATTTATTTAGAAAGAATTTGTGCACCATGCCTTAACAGTTTACACTATGTAGAGAAATATCTAAAAGTTATGAAAACATAAATGTCTTTAATGGTTTCAAAAGGCATTTCTAACATATTGGAGTACGAGTACTACTCTTATCCTTAGACGATTTATTATCCAAACTTCAGTTATAGCTTTACTTAAAATCTACTTAATTGATAAAGCAAATAAAAATGATATTTTGAGATGCAACATATATTTATCACTACATTTTTCTCAAGTATAACTTTTAGTGACATAACTGACAAAAATGTTTTACTATCGATCTATTAAAGTAGATTTTTAAGGAATAACAGTTATATACACTATGTATTGTCAGCATATCTTCGAAATGTCTATGATACTCCAAATTAATAGTTCCGATTGTTAGGAGGATGGCTCAAAGCAAATATATCTACTTCAATCTGAGAAAAAATTCTAATTTAATTTGATGGCCGATTACTTGATATTATATTGTTTTACGAATCTTGAAGTTTGATGTCAAGAAAATAAGAACTTGAATAAATAAAATTATAGGTAGAAACAAAAGTTAATGAATAGTCTCTATAACCAGTAATATCCCAAATCATGCAACATACTTTTCTATCGCAATATCCCAATAGAGTAAGCAATCCGTGCACAGGCCTGGGAACGACCGACTTCAAATAAGCTTTTCTTTGTTCCATTGTCAAATTCGGAGTAATGGTCTGTAGTAGACTGTTAAGTTTACAAAGAACCCAACGTGATAGTTCTTGTAATTTTAAACAAAGCGATAGACGGAAAATCCCAAAGAAAATTAGGATAAAACAAATCAAATATAATGGCCATTGATAAAGCCAAATAGCGACGAGAAAATGAGCCCACAATAATGCAAGAAAACAGCGATTGACAAATGAACTGTCAGGATAGCAAGTATCGTTTGTATAAGCTGCGTCGAAAATGTTTCCCGATCTAGGAAGTGAACTACCTCTCGCACGAAACCTGTAGAAAAATAAATTTAATAGGCATTTTAATTAACCTATTATTTTTCAAAATGAAAAAGATTGTGCAAGAAAACGATCTAGATATGCGCGGCAGAAATAGTACTTGTAAGTTTAGATAAGGATAATTACCAAATCCACATAACCTTTAAGGTTTATTCAATTTTCCTCAAAAATACTTTCCAGCTTTACTGGCTGCATTGTTGTTTTGATGTCTTAAACGCAGCACAATTGTGTACAAGCTCAGACATAACCAAACTTCTATTACGACACGATTATAGTTTAATCTCATGTAAAAATGTAGAGTCCATTATTTTTAAGTGTGTTTCAACAAGTGAAAATCTCACTTTAAACAACAGAGGATCAGAAACATGACTGGAAATAGACACTTTACCTAGAACAAATGATTCAAACACTTGAAAACAGGTTATCGACGAATTACAGAGATGGTTGACTGTGACCTGTTTCATTATGCATACAATAAAATGTCCGTTAAGGTTATTGAAATTTGGCAGGAAAGAAATTTTTCGGGATAGAAATAAACAATAAGATTATCCACGAATTTGAAATAAGATTAGACCTAATAATTCCTAAAATCTTAACTTAGCACATAAATAATGACTCAAATGTAGTTAATACTCAAATTCAATCTAGTCATCTAGGATACATAAAACTATGACTTATTCGTGCGCTTACCCTTTTCCTTCCAATATTGCACTCCATGATTTTGCGGAAGATAAACACAACTGTTCAGACATGAAAGCTCGGAGCTCACTAACTGGATCGAATCCATAGGATGATCCTGTCGGTACCGGAAGGAAAGCTTGTCTGAAATAAATAGATACATGAGTGAAATGAATACACGTAAAGTTAAGTATAAACAAAACATTTAGTTTAGATAAAAAATTATACGACGTCGACATTGTTTTGGTAAAATACAGCTGTTATGGTATTTTAAAAAATGTGTGCAATTATAATGACCTATCACTACATGAATAATGATGAAATTCTATTAGTTAGAAATCCGATGTCACTATTATGCTCAATGAATACAACACTGAAATTTGACTTAACGTTATATATGTGGCAGAGGACCTATGGGACTACATTCCGTGTTACCTAGTTTACTTTTAGAATATCCTTATGATAAGAACATACGTCATCCAGAACACCTACCAGAGGATGCCATACTCACTAGTGCTAATGAGTGGTTAGTGACGTTTCAAGATAAGAAAAGAGTAACCTTTTAACAGGCGTTTACTTAAATATCCACCCAAAAAAAATCCATCATTTTTGATATTTGAAAACGAATACATACTAACCACTCCGTTTTGGGCTACAGAGATTCACTGTATATTAATAAACACTAAAAGGCATGTACCCTAGTCATCGAAAATGACCAACGGTACAAAAAATACAAAATGACAAAGATGTGATTTAGTTACTAAATATATGCAGTCAAAAATGCTACTTGATCGTTTCTAATTTTACACAGTAGAATTTAAGTTGATGACCATATACTATCGAATTTAGAAATCACTGCTTCAAAGCACTACATAAATGTATGATTTGACTTCACAAGATAGGCAGATTAGTAAACGCTGTTGAACAACAGTTAAAATAGGTATGAAATATTATAACGCAGTGAAAGATCTTTACAGATTGACATTTAAGTAAGTGAAAGAGTAGTTGGATTTATGACGTGTGACCAAGGATAAGATGCATCAAATATTTTATAGTCAACTGATGAATACACCTCCTCTAAGTCTGTGGTTAACTGTAAACCATAGACATTCAGTAGATCCAGCTTGGTGACCCAGGAACGTAACTATTGAATCCTATCTTTAGACTCGTTTTACTTAATTCGATGTAACAAAATACTTTTATCCTATGATAGATAACAAAGGATAAATGAATTATCAGTCAGTCAGTCAGTCTTACCGTTCTCCAATCGACCTGCCTGGCATGGTAGAACCTGCATGAACATGTGTTCCAGCCAATATAGCTCGGTTGGGTCATCACGATAGGCAAGCCCGACCACCACGTCAAGGTAGCGGCTACGGTCGGGAAATGAATTATAGCATAACGAGAGTTATATATGTACAATTTATTACTCTTCTTTGACTAGCAAAGACAGATATCGTCTAACTGGCATTAATATCCTTACATTAGTTGCTAAAATGGGGATCGTAATACTTAGAATTACTTCCTGAGTTCATCTGGAATATTTTGAAAAACTAACCTCAGAAACTGCGACCATCTTAGAGGAAGACCAGTTTGACGCTGTTGTTCTTCCTCTTTTGTCTGGCTTGGGTGTATTTGAGTAGAAACCTCGAAAGGCTTACTGAATTCTGTACTAACTTCTGCCAGTGTGTCACAGGAAACTGCACTCCTAATTAACTCGGGAGATCCCCCATCTAATGCAGTAACAGTATGGCAGGAAGCCCACCGTTCTGCAAACAACAAAAGTGAAGAATTAGTAAACAATCCCAAATAGCAAGTTGACTACTAAAATTTGATGTTAAAAAAGTCTTGGGAAATAATATAACGTCAAAATATCACACACATGTTGTTACTATGCTTATATACCCACTAGACTTACTGAACATATTCAGCTAATTGGAGACTTGAAAAGAAACAGATTTATTAACAAACCAGTGTACTGAATACAGCAATCTATATCCAGCATTACAATTATGAAATTATTCGTGTGCTTATAGCCTGCTTTCGCTTACGCGCTGGTTCAGTCGTAACTATTATGATGTTTTTGATAGTTTTGAGATAACTTTTTGAATTAACTACAGTAATTCGCATTATAATCTCACTATTTATTACCCTGTTTACAGTAACCAATGCCCTCAAATGCCATATAACGGTCGAGGGTGGGGAGAGTCCACTCTCTCGAAATACTCACACATGGTCCTAATCACTGCCTCGTGGCGGGAGTGTTGTTCACGAAAATGAGAACGAAAAGTGAATTTCCGGCTCTTTAACCGAGTTGAGAAGTACGGAGGATTCACTCAGAGGTTAGAAAACCCTGATTCCAAACCAATGGTGCACATGGGCTCCGTGATCCTGAGGGACCAACTGCATGTGAACCTGTTGTTGGTAACAGGCTACTGTGTGACATCTGACGTTGCTCCACTGGCTTGTGGACTAGACCTCGAGGTCAAGGGCTTGGGGAGTAAACTCCAAAACAACCACCTGCCTTGATCCGGGCGCCCGGGCAGTATCCCAGCCTTCATATAGGTCTAAAGATGAAGCGTGGAGCACACATATTTGGTGCCCCTTTGTACCAATGTTGATGTGTTGAAGTAAATAAATAATAGACTTTCAAACCCAACAAGAAATAACAGCTGGAAACAAAATTGCACAGATAAAAAGTACCACTGCACTAAACATAAGTGCAACTAAGTCACACGTACGTAACAAAGTCTAAAACACAAATCTAAAGGCTTACAGAAAAATACAAGCTGATTTAATGTTATCCCGAATGCGGATGTAAATACCTGACCTTGACAACTTCCATCAGCTTCTTCAGTGAAACCCCAGTAGCCAACTATCAAGACCGCAACAGAAAAGAAAAATACGGGTATTCTTAAAACCCCACCAAACGATGTGCACCATAACAGCAATGAAAGCCAGAAAAAGTGTGACACACTGTACACGAAGTGGAAATTGGATGGTTTTACTAAAGCAATCATGCCGTAGATAATACCTAGAGTAATAACCTGTAAATCTAGAGAACTGAGTTAGACTTACTAATTTGAATGATGTAAATTCTAAGACGCAATCAACGAACGATATTAAGAAGTAAGAGATATTTATAGATAATCCAGGGAGCCAGAAAAAATCAAAGTAGGAAGAAATGTTGAAAGCGAGGAGAAGGAACAGAGATGTCTTAAGTAAACTCCAGTGATCAGACATTTTCTTGATTAATATGGAATAGAGAGCATTAGAAACTCTGAACGGTACAACAACAGTTTCCACTAAAAGTAACTGATCTTCTGCATCAACACGCCTAACCCATCCACGAATAACATCCGTTAATGAATTTTTGAATGGATATAACACCGTCCCGCACAAAACAGCCCATAAAAGAGGTCTGACAAAAACCTGGAGCGTATAATAGACTGCCAGAATGGCAACGCATATGAAAGAAAGAATTATGAAAGCAGCGGCATTGTAAAATGCTTGTCGGATGGCCTTAATTTGAGAGTGTGATAAGCGAAGGTAATGCTCGAAGCCGAAAGACGTAGTTACAAAAGATTCCATTATCTACTGATTTTCTTCACACTTCTCTAAGCACGAATGCCAGGATTTACCAGCGTACCCGAAATAGACGCTCTTCATTCGAACTACCGCCTGTTGAGTAAGGTCACACATTTCAAGGCTAAGCACTGTCTATAAGACCGAGTGATACAGTTTCACTGTATTATTTACACTTTTTGGGTTATTGATGTATGTTTCTACTTCTTTTATCCCTCTTATTTCTGAGGATCTCTGTAATGTCAGTTACAGACTACATATCCAGAGTTATTTTAAAAAGCAGATAAACTGACCATTCATTTTGAATCACCATCTTGGCTTTACATGGCGTTTCCAAGCCTTTCGGAAGCTTGTAGAGAAAATGGCTTAATTACGAGATTTCAGTGGCCCTGGTGAATTTGACAGCTACCCCAAAGATGTCACGAATAATGAGACTTTGATAACGATTTTATCCTCAACACTATCTTAGTCAAAGGATCACAATCCCGGTCAAATCAAAAGTCGTTGATGAATCAGACCGAAGACGTATTTGGAAGGTTATTGACGTGTTAAGAAATATACAAACCAGGTTTCTGCGGGCGATGCGTAGCACGTCGTACCCATTAGTGATCTCACACGAATGGGTGACCGAGGGCCTTTTGTCAGTGTCCAGCGAAACCAATCGGGTCACTATCAATACTGAAGACTTACGAAATTGTTTTATTACCCCTACGTTATTAACCAGTAAACCTTAGTTTCAATAGAAACACTGTCAGACTTTAAATATTACGTAAGTGCATGCCGAATTACACCAGTATGTGCGTAAAGACACAAAAGGAGAAATGGAAGTAAAGTTATAAAAATGTGTTTCTGGGATGTTTGCATGAACTAATGATTCCTTTGTACTAGATGGTTGCTTGATTTCGAATTTCAAATACAATGTTGCGGTAAAAAATCCCCAAAATCAATAGCTCTGTAAGTCTTCGATATTTGATGCTGACCACATAAGTTTTAATGAAATCACCTATATGAAGGAGCTCAGTCACGCATCCACACCAGATGAGTGTCAAAGCCGTGTTCAACTTTTTCTGCAATTTGGATCAGTCACTATGCAATATGTTGATAAAGTATTAAATATATCTTCGAATCTCCTCTCCTCTGACTTCTAACTTTACTGGGTGGGTAAGATTCAATTATAGGTGTTACTGGTTGCAGTGTTGTCAAACTGAAAATACATGTGGCATTTTCAAGATTACGTCTATTCCTGCTCATCTAGTACTTCTTGGTTAAAGTGCTTTGTTTCTGAGATTCCCAATGCTCACTATAATTCAAATACTCCTAATCGTCATATTGGCGTCGCGATGGAGCTCACGGTGGAACAGTCAGACATCCATTCAATTTGCGAAGCTTTTGAGGATTACTTGGAAAGGCTTGATATCTGGCGCATGATCAAGAAAGATTTGAATGGTAATAAAATTGTGGCACATTTTCTTACATTCATCACAAAAGAAGCCTACAGTTCATTGAAATCTTTGGCATTTCTAATGAACTCTACCTCACTTCCTTATGCAACTCTTAAAAAATTCTACTAAATCAAGTAGAGTGAACGAGTTTTGAATATCGTGAGAGGGCAAAATTTCACAAAATGATTTACCTAAATAACTAGAAGGTCAGGGAATTCATACTTGAATTGTAAAAACAAGCTACCAAATGAAATTTTGGTGATCAAATTTTTGTGCATCTGAGGGATCGATTAATTACATGAATTAACATACCAGGTCTGGAAAGAGAACTGTTAACAATGCCGAATTGTCACTTTCAAGATTCTAGGACTGTATGTATTGAGTACGTAGCAAATGATTCAGTCTTCAGCATGGATTACTCCTATCGTTACACTATTGAAGTCGGACGGCAAGACCCTCAAAATATTTGGTGACTATAAGTTAACACTGAACTCCCATTTGTTGAAGCAGACGTATACGGCGGTGGAGGCTGAATATATTCCAAATCGACTTTATTGTTCTAAATTTTTCTGGAACGTTGACTTGAAAGATGCTTATCTCCAAATTCCTACAGATCAATCTTCATAGATTTTAACGATAATCGATTCTCCTTTTGGCCTGTTCAAATACAACTTCCTTTAATTTTGTCTAAGTTGTTCTCAAGCCATGTTTTGGGAAGTGACGATTAAGGTAGTCAGTTATCGTGAAGGTGTTGAAGTTCATCATGATGATCTCAATGTTCATGGATCTAATAAGTAAGTTAATAAACAGAGACTTTTTACTTTGCTGCGTCGTCTAATCGAGAAGAATGTTACGGTGGATCCAAATAAAAGTTCATTTTGTTTACCTAGTTTCGAATATCTTGGATACCTAGTTGATAGTGAAAATGCCACAGGTATTCGGAGTTTGACAACTCTTAAACCAGTAACACCTTCCAATATGAAGCGTATCCACCAAGTGAAATCAAAGACAGAAGCGAGGAGGTTCGAAGATATATCTGATAAGCTATCAATATATTGAGGATCGTCTGGTCTAATCTAGCTAGCGATGGCGGCAGATGTTGAGCACGGCGTTCCCACACGTGATCTGGTGTGGATGCTTGACCGAGCGCCTTCAGCTAGATGAGTCCAGTAAAGTTAATGTGGTCAGCATCCAATGTCGAAATCTTTCAGAGCTATTTATTTTGGAGATTTATTTACCGCCACAGATCATTCCCCCCCTAGTGGAGTAGTGATGACACTAAAACGTGGCCAGCCAGAAGTTTAAACCCGACGAGTTGTTCGTTGGTAAACACTCTTTTGATAGCTTGCTCGGTTTAGCAGCGCCTGGTCGTCTTTCCTTACTATAAGGGACCATGAAGTACAATATAGTAAAAAAAGAAAAAAGTACAATGAAGATTTCCGTTTCTCGCAAACTTCGTCGTTCTTTTTATCGTCTTTTTCAGCCGTCCTCGAACAGAAAAGAAAATACGTAAGTGCGTGACGTAATACACTCGTACGCACGTAAAAACACAAAGCGGGCGAAAACATTGGGAAATAAACTCATGCTCACGTAATAGCGTAAAAGAAAGGATTTCATAATATGCTTTTTTTGTTTGTTTTTTTGAAACAAAAAATAAAAATACATAAGCATATTAAGTTTTTTTTCTTTTTAAAAAAATAATCGTTCAAATGTTCTGGAAATCTTACTCTTCTTCCAGAACACGTTGTTTTAAGTTTATTTTCTAATACCGTCGAAGTTACAACGTGTGTGTAGGCATTCTGTTGAAGTATTTTATATGCAGCAGTTGTGTCTTGCGATTGTACTGAAGGAAAGTCGACGTGAGTAGGATTTCCTTCTGAATACGCTGCTTTGAGGCGATCGATGCTGATGCTATCGTTGGTTCCGTTCTTATCGATTACATAGTACTTGTGTCCGCGTTGAAGATTTTGAAAGGTCTTTAGAATTACGGTCTATTATGATATTAGCACTGCTCTAATAATAGACCTAATCCTAAAATTGTAGATTTATCATGATTTAACTGCCTAATCTATAAGATCTTACGTGGAAATTACATCATCGTCTACACCGATTCATTGCATTGTAACAATTACCAATACGTGATAGAGAACTAGCTTAGGCTAGAGATAGAATATATTTAATATGAATAGAAGACACAAGATAACATTCAGATGGGACCACGCCTGCAAGGCCGAGCCATGCCATCCGATCAACTCGGACTGATTCAATTTATTGTTCCCGCCTTTCTTCATTGTTCGGTATTTCCCAGCGTTAAATGTTGAATGCCAATTTTTCGTATTGTCTTGTGTTAGGGCCCAATGCCACTACAGACTCATCTAGCTGAAGGCGCTCGGTCAAGCATCCGCACCAGATCACGTGTGGGAACGCCGTGCTCAACATCTGCCTCAATCGCTAGCCAGATTAGTGCAAACGATCCTCGATATATTGATAGCTTATCAAATATATCTTCGATCTCCTCACTTCTGTCTTTTGATTTTACTTGGTGGGTGCGCTTCGTATTAGAAGGTGTTACTGGTTAAAGCGTTGTCAAACTCCGAATACCTGTGGCATCTTCATTATAAATTGTTGATGTAGTGCCGCGAGATGACTTTGGATAAATAAGTCTTTACAAGATGATCAACAGTGAATGATGCTCATGTGATTATCAGGAAGAACATAAATTGTAACCAAGAGGAGTACACTTTCAACTCATGTCTATGATGATAACTTGAACCTTAGTCAGTGTTGGGGTAAATTCGACATTGATGTTTGCAGTTTGCAGGAGATTTGCTCGACTGCTTATACTGATTATTTGCATGCTTGATTGTGTTACTAAACCTCCAATTAGACTGACAAGGTTTTGAGATATTTACTGAATGAGCAACTGATAGAGAAACGTACTGGAAATCATCTGTAATGGACGAAGATACCGAGAAAACAACACTATTTAATGATAATTACGAGTCAATTTCTGACCGATTTTGTCTATAGTTTTATCAATTTTATCAATCATATTACGTGATTGTCAAATCATGACAGTCTTTATGACGATATCCTGAAGCCATTATGTTAAACTAACTATATTGTTGATTGAGGATCAGTCAGTGGAAAAATAGGTATTATTACTTTAGGTGATTCGAAATTATCAGAACTTTGTAACTTCAATTCAAAAATATCATATGGTGTTAACTTTTGTAATAGGTTTCGGTATTTTAATTTTAAATGTCTGTTTAGCCATCAACTACCTGATAGTTTAGTTATTATATTGAGACAGTATGGTAGTACTCAAATTTGTAACTTCATTATCTAAACTATGTTCGCGTTTCTGGGATACTACTATGATAGACCAATTCATAAACTCAAAAACGTATAACAATTATGACTATGATGGGTTTATTGAAGATGTTACAGGCGATTCAACTGATTTTTAAATTTAAAAGACACCGAGAAATAATTCAACGCATGTACGGGCCAGATTAACATGCAGGTTGGTGAGGGGTGACAATTTAAAAATGGTAAACATGGCCAGAAAAACAATTCTAAAGTTAAGGCTACTTATGAAGCTTCAGGCGAGAATATGACGCTTTTTACACTTTCAATAGGAAGTTTCTGCATTCAGCCTAG